GTCCACTCTCTCCTCTTCCTCCCTTGCCATTCATACCTCAGCCATGAAGGAAGGGCGACTTCTGGTGCTTGTGGAACTGAAACTTAACCTACAAATGCAATCAGATGGTCTCCACTCCTGGCTCTGCTTCATCGCTGCTCGGGGTTTCACACTGTCACCCCTCCTTCTCCTTAAAGTTCTCTCCTCCCCTGACTTCCACAACACCCCTCTTTTGCTCATCTCTTAACTGCTGGGGGCTTCCCAGGATTCTGACCTATGTGTTTCTTTCCTTACTCCGCACGCCGTCAACAAGACTGTCTGACCCGAGGACTGGAGGGACCACCTTTCATCAAGGCATCTCCCCTTTCAGGCTTCTGACTCCACAGTGCGGTGCGTCCAACTTCATACCAAACACGGTCCTTGTGTCTCTCACGGGCGCCAAACGTAGTGTGTCCATCTGGGTGTGGTGTTCAGTCTGAGAGATCAGATAGGGCTGTTCGTTGGTTAGTTGGCTCAAACATGGACCTCGTGGTGGCCAGTACTAAATGAAGTGGAGACGCCTGGGCGTGCCCAGAAGAGGGACCGAGGCCGAGGGAGGCTGGAATGTGCCAGTTGGGTTTACCAAGCAAGACCTGCTCACCTGGCAGGGTCCAGAGGACACACTCTTCACTGTGAGCGTGGGAAGTCAACCCAGGAGGGGAGCCCAGTAAGGCTCTGGGACCACCCTTCTCTGGAGGCAGATCTCACACGGGAAAGCTAAATGCAGTGGGAGTAACAGGGTCCAGGTGCGGGGCCAAGAAGGGGCACGACCCCCAGGGGCGAGATTGGCATGGTGACTGTGATGGACAGCGGGGTCCAAGCAAGGTGGGGGGATTGTCCAAACGGAGACCTCTGGCATCGGTGGCTGGCTGGCAATCACGGCGTTTCTGGAAGAGAAATAGAGGACTGTTGCTACATTCTTACCTGATCTTATAAGCAGAGAAGTTCGAGGTCGTGTGAACAAAAGTCCAACCTGAATTAGAAAAACAGAGGGTCACATGCCCCCAAGTCAGTTCCCAGACTCGGCCAGTTCCCAGTCCCAGACTCTTGAATTAAAGGGGGGTCCCTTTAAGGAAGAAGCCCGGTCCACTGCCGATGATGGACACTGTGAGTCTTCCTCCTAGCCTTCTCCAAAGAGAATGCAGCCTCTCTCAGGGTGACTGCGCACTGGGGAAAGGGAAATTATCAGACATTCAGGACCGCTGGACACTGGCTCTGAACTGACACTAATTCCAGGAGGTCCAGACTCACCTCAGCCACCAGTCAGAGCAGGGACTTACGGAGGGCAGTGGGTCCCCTGATCAGCCCTGTGGGGGCATCACCCCAAGTCTGAAACGTGTCCCTGGAACAGACACGCCCAGCCTCTGGCAGGGCCACCTGCTGGAGCGCCAGGCACACTGCCATACAAGTCACGGGTTCTCAAAGCACTGTGGGACACAAGAGACTCAGGAGAGTTGTAATGCTTTTGAAATGGCTGCGAGCACAGGGACTTGCCGCCCTTGAGTTTTTCTTGTGGCTGACGGTTCAGCTCTGAGCTTTGCCCCGGCCGCGGTCCTGCCTCATCGTTCCCGACCTGCTGTCCTTGCTCAGCGAGGTCGTGTGCAGAGGAAGCACCCCAGGGGCCCCGCGGCACTGGCTCACGGCGGGCCAGCTTTCCTTCATCAGCCGCAGTTGTCACAGCTGCTGCCCTCACTCCCATGTCTGGGTCATCAGCCTCCCATTCATGTTTCAGGATTCATCGCCACGTCCCCAAAGCACCCCTGGTTAAATGAGGTCATCTTAGAACATTTGGTGCTCTGTCTCAACTGCTTGTGAGAGAGGATTCTGAAGCTGTGACTTCTGTCACTCTGTCTCCATGTGTGGAGGTCACCCCGCATTTTTAGGACAGTGTCTACGTGCTCATGACTCAGGTCATTATGAACTCCTCTTGCGGTGACATGGGGCTGAGACCTAGCTCTCGTTTTCTCCATCTTGATGCCTGGCAAAGAGCAAACAGAAACTGTAAACTGAAAGGTGGCAGGTTAGCAATTTATTATTTCTTGTTCCATAAAATGGAAAGCATCACATTTTTCCCCTTTACTCATTATAGACATAATTTCCCCATCACCAATAAATATGTGGGCAACTTCACTGTGTTTTTTTTTTTGCAATGTCACTGTAAATCAAATATGAAAGTCACATTTAGAGGGGAGAAATCTCCAAGATGCTCGGATTCTGGAGCTGAAATCAGAGAGCATGAGGCCCACTCTTGCATGACAGTAAATTGAAACCCAGAGAAGCAATCATTTGCCCAAGAGTAAATAAAATGTGATATAAGGTCATCAGTTGTAAAGCCCTCAGTTTACATGGGAAATAAGAGAAATGAGAACTGGGAAGAGGGGCATGAACTACAGCGTGAAAAAACACAGGCCCGTGAGGGACAACCACACCCAAGTCGCCCGTCGCGGCGCGCCCAGCTCTGGGCGCCGCACCGCACATGTAGTGGGCGCTCAGGAAAGATCTGTCAGATTGTCACGTAGTAAGCAGACCAGAGAGAACGGCTCAGTCACCTCTGCAGTTGCTTCTGCTCATCTGAGTGCTGACCCTGTGAAACAGGAAATCGCATCTCTCATCTTCAAGAAAACGCTGATTTGCTGATTTACTGATTCACTTGGTTATAAAGCAGAAATATGAGATGAGACAGTGCGGAGCACGGCAGGATGAACCTGAAGGCTTTGTGTCTTCTGCACTTTGCTGTTTCAGATATGTTTCTAGAAAGTCTTAGCTTTCTCTCCTTGTTGAGGATAGGATTTAGACCTTGAGATTCATATCAGATAGGGGAGGCTCACTTCCCACCCTTCACAGTGGCCGGAGGGCCCCACTGCTCAGATGCGGGCTCATCTTAACTCACCACACCTATAAAGACCCTCTTTCCGGGTCAGGGCACAGTCACAGGTATAGGGGGTCAGGACGCGAACACATCCTCTTGGGGACACAGTTCAGACCACAACGTGCAGAGCTGGGGTCTCCTTACCCCTCCCCTGGGTTGTGTGAGGACCCCAGAGGCTCACAGCTCCGAGCAGCCCCGCCTTCCTCCATCGGACCAAGCTGACTCTGGGCCCGCTCGTCTCCCCCTTCCCACGCCCACCATCCGCCTTCGAGAAGCTTCCCCCTCCCGCCAGGCCGAGGGTTGACCCCAGAGCCCGTCTTCGCTGCCCGGAAGGCCCCCGGGACCTGGTCACTTTCATCCGGTCTCCCTGGAAAATGAAAGATGCAGTGCCCCCCCATCCCCGTTCCTTCCAGGCAGCGCCGCCCGCCCCCCACCCCGAGTGGAAACGCGAGCGGTGACCGCCCCCTTGAGGTCCGGGCAGCGCGTCGGAGCCCCGGCGCCGCTCTCTCCGCTCCTCCGCCGGCTGCTCCCCGACCCCGACCCCGCGAAGCTCCGTCCGGGACGTCGGGGGAACGGGAGTCAGGGGAAGACAGGAAAGGGAGACTGAAATGCACCGAAAGCCAGGGGCAGGGAGAACTAGGAAGCAGAGAGGGAGAGAAAGACATCACAGGACAGAGAACGAGGGAAGTGTTCGTGAAGCAAGTTGCGAGGAAACAGGCAGAGCTTTATTAAAACTCCCTGCAAGGCTTTCGTGTTAAAAACCAACGTATAACAACAAGCCAGTCACCAGAAGAGAAATCCTGTACGACTCCATGTGAATGAGGTCCTGTCGCCATCAGATCCAGAGAGCGGAGGGGGACATCGGTGCCGGGGGCGCGGGCTGGGGGCGCGGGCTGGGGTGGGCTGCTCTTCAGTGGGGCAGCTTCGGTTTTGCAAGGTGAGAAGTTCTGTTGGTTGCACAACAACGCGAATATGTTGAACACTACAAACTATGCACTTAAAAATGGTCACGATGGTCACTTTATGTTATTTTATCGAACTATGAAAATTAAAAATAAACGTGTAACATTGCCTTCAGTTTAACCTACAGGACTTCTGCCCGCCCCCTTTCTGCCCATCTTTCCAATATTCAGCTTTAGTCAACATTTCTTTTTCTGCACTACGTATTGGAAATGATACAGGGGGGTGGCCACCCCAATCGTACTTCCACCACAGAAAGAGATTTCAGAAGGGACAGGGAGAAGTGTTGAGGAAATGCTGAGGGCAGTCTGGAAAGAGAGGGTTCGCAGGCACTCAGGAAGGGAGGGGACTGGGCCACCGTGCAGAGTGCAGGCAGGGGTGGGGCAGGTCCCTCCAGAAGCTCCAGACAGGCCCATGCAATGGCGCCTTCGCGGCCTTCATGGACATCGGGGCAGTGAGGACCACAGACAAAAAAGTAAGCAGTGCCTTTAAGCCCGAGCGCCGACTCAGCGATATAAAGGGCTGGACCGCTCACTGCCTGTTGTGAGCTGTCACTCTTGTCCAGTCCTTCTGTGGATCCGTGAGCCTAAAGATCTACGTGCCGTCCCAGCATTAGGAGCTGCTGGAGCTATTGCCACCCCCGCAGCCGCCGAGATGGTTCCCACGGAAGGAAAAGCCAGAACCCAGGCTCTGGGAGAAGAGCATCCAGCTTGCATTCTGGCCTCTGCATAAGCTGCGATGCGGGAGAGTGTGTGCTCATTCCAGGGATAGCCTCCACTCCCCCGACACCCCGCTACACTCGGATGGCTGCACGTTCCTGGAGCATCTATTCTCATGGAGCACTGCTGATGCGGGAGTGATGGCAGAACGCGGCCATGGGCTCCCTTCCTGGGAGGCCTGCATCTTGTCCAGCGTGGGGGACCGAGGGGTTGGACCGTCAGTGCCCAGATGGTTATATGATTTTCACAGATGTTCTGAAACAAAGCTGCAGTCATTACAGCTCTTTTCACTCACCAGACATCATTTCTAGCACTCCAACATCTTTTTCACCTTTTCTACTGAACTTTAACGCTGATTTATAGCATCTGTGAGCAAAGACGAATTCTACCTACTGGTTCTACCTGCACTTACTTATGGTGACCAATAGGGGGCGTGTCAACAGCTTCATTCCTATTCTGCAAACATCTTAATTTAAAAAGCACGATCTCAAATTTCAACACATTTATTAAAACATAAATATTCAACTCCTTGAATCTCATAGGACTTTTATCACTCTCATTAATTTCACTTTAGTCTCAAAAATAATTTTCCTAAATGTCTACAAATAAACATTACAGGATATAGATGTATTTTTAAGTTAACATTTAAATTGGAATGTAGCATTTGTACAGAAGAGCTCACAAATTGTAAATGTACTGCTGGAAGAATTTTTACCAAGGCAGCACATCTATGGGCCACCAGGGCGAGACACAGAATGTCACTCGGAGACTCCCCTGCACCTCTTCCCAGCCATTACTCTGCAATGCAGGTCCACTTCCGGCTGCTCTCCCCCCAGGTCAGGCTCTCTGTCCTTACTCGCTGAACACCGGGTACCACACTGTGTGTCTGGGGTCGTCTCAATATTATGTTCATGAGATTGTCCACGTTCCGATGAAGCGGCATTCCATGGCAGTATGCATTTATGCAGCATGTATGTAGTGAATGGTGCGTGCGTAGTGTGTTCACGCTTCATTGCAGTGTAGCGTTCTGTGGTATGAATGTACCGCGTTCATTTATCCGCACTGCCGCTAGCAGGCAACAGGGCTGATCCCAGTGTGGGGCTGCTGTGAATGATGCATCCTGAACATCTTGTGCGCATGTTTTGGTGCACATGTGCACGCATGTCTGACAGGTGTACATTTAGGAGCAGAACCGCTGCACAGGTTTCCAGAAAGGTTGTACCAACGTGCGTTCCCACTGGCTGCAATGCTGGCTGCTCCACACCCTCACCAGGATTTGATATCATAAACCTGTGAAATTTGTATGTTACTCAACATACAGTTTTTCCAGGATTTTCCAAACAGTATGACTTTAGCCAGATACTAGGAAATGAGTAAGAAGATTAAGAACTGTGTAATGACAGGCACTCAAAAGCCATACTAGCTCACAGAGGATTCTAATGGAAATCTTAAGACGTTTCTCAAGTCAGGGACGTCTCTTCTTGATTGATGGGAGGCGTTATGGGTACAATTCTTTATCCTCACGCATTTTAAGCCCATGTTACATTTAAATTGCTGCAGTGATTAACCCCAGGGCCCTAAGTGAGCCCTAGGGTTGGGACAGTTGAAAGTCCCTGGGCAGAATCAGCTCTTCCTCACCAGAGGAGGCGTCTCAAATCTCAGCGCCGCTCCTGACACATCCTGACACATCCCA